GTATAAGCTATATTGCTGTAGAGTTTCATCAAAATCCGTTTAGTAGTTTTTGCGTGATAGAGTAACAAATATCCATCCATACTCACAAATTTCAAGTTTATTAAGACGAAAGATATATATATATGCATATAATCTAATATATCTCTGATCAACGCGACGGTTGACTGGTAGAGAATGCCATCAGGCATTAAGTCTGCCATGTATCCAATTTTGTGTGCAAAAGAATAAATAAATACATCAGTGACTACTGTACACTTTCCTCTATGTTTACTTCATGAGTATAGAATTTGTGGCTGCAATTATTTATTATCGAAAAGTAAGACCGTGTATCAAACCTCTAAACAACTGCGGCAACTGTCTCTTAATATATAGTATTTTATATTTAACAATATTAAAAGTACAGACATATACATCAAATCTGCCTGATTATCTATATATGTACCAATTAAACATTTATGTGTTATTTATCAAGCCACATTATTCAGTTACAAACGAGTTAAATCCGCTTTTGTATTGTTGTTTTTTGATGATTAAAAATAAATATCGATAAATCGATAATATAATTAAGATAACTCTGCTCATCACTACCGGTTGCTACGCAGGTGTTCGTTCTAGCTGGCTTTATATTTATAGTGATATTTGGATCATCTTGTAAGATCACGATATTTATTGGGTAGAGTGATGATATTGATGGATGTTTACGTGTATTGACATATGTGTTTTACCAGAGGGAGATTTCCTACAAAGCCTGTGTAGGTTCCTTTCTTAATCCTTTATTAAGCCAAATGTAATAATAATAATAATATCAGGACAATTCACACCATCTAGCGCTATATATTATACACCATCTATCTCAGCGCCATCTAGATCCAAGTTAAGCTATATAATGACAACTTGAAAATACTATATATACTTAATATCAACATTCAAACAATGTACATTGTTCATGAATAAATAATAAATTGTAGCTAACTACAACCTAGATCACGTCAGCTTTGAAATAAAAAAAAACCACATCATTATCGGTGAATTAGTTTAGGAGCTACAATGTCATAGACAGATTGTTTAGCTTGGGACTAGATCGCGATTTGTAAATTGTCGAGGGTTGTTTATTTATTATAAAATGGTCTTAATCGTAACGTTTTATTTTCTTTTGTTATTTTTACGTACGCTGTCTCGTGTGTGGTAGCCCCACTGAAAATCAGCGCTGTGGTATAATTATCCTACAGTATAAATGCTGAGTGGGAGTCACATTCAGCGTTACTAGTATATTTTAGCTTATAAGTTGTATAGTAAATAAGAATACTGTAAGGCTGAATAAATGTCTTTATTATTATTATTTTTTTTTTCCCAAAAATTCTCATCTCCCCTCTTAAGGAGAGGAGATGGCAACATACCCCCGGCAGAAGCACAGTCGGCCGGGGTTCAGGGCCCCAGGGACAGAAACCGGCGTACAATGCGGGCAGAATCTAACAGCACCGCTTTCTGCATCTTTCCCGGGAGTGAACCGCCCCGGAATCCCAACCGTCTGAGAGATGTTGTTCCAGACTGGTTGGGATAAGACCGTTCACCGACATAACGATTGGAATGATTTTATTATTATTATTATTATTGTTATCTTTTCTCTTTATTTCTCTTCCTTTAAAAAATTTAAAAGAAGGTAATACACACCTACACGGGCTAAGCCAAGTGTGGGAGAGGTTGTGCTGTGTGATGATGTTGTTGAGTAGGTTAAGAATTTTCGGGTTATGCGACATGTTATTATCATTATTAGTTTATTCGCTCAAATTTACGCTTTATAATTAGTACCTTATAAATATAAACAGCAAAAAAATCTAACTACCAAACCATTTGCTAAGTCTAGATCTATATTGAGGCAATAATTATTATCATTATTGCAACTAGATCGATATCGTTACGACTGAATTAAAACTCACGACCAGTTGTCGCAATTTGAGGTTATAGATCTACTATATTCGACCGCTTTATGACTTCATTGAATGTCGTACGTCATAAACAACATACTTATTTGGCCCCCTATAATTACAACTATAAAAAAATAAAGTGGTATTTTCAGTAATTTACCAATACCCTGTTAATAATTATCCTGTTAGTAAACATGCTATGGATTTTTGGCAAATAGACATATCTATTATTTATATTATTAACCGGGTTTTAACACGACTAATCTTATAGCAAATAAGATATTTAACTCTCTCGATGTTTCGACTAGGTTGTAATTTAACCTAGTCATGGTATTATTATATATAATACAAATAACTAGCTGTGCCCGCGCTTTCACCCGTCTGAAATTTATAGCCAATAAGTTATTCTAATGTATAAGCTATATTACTGTAAAGTTTCATCGTAATCCGTACAGAAGTTTTTTTGTGAAAGAGTAACAAACATCCATCCAGACTTTCGCGTTTATAATATTAATAAAATGTACATTAAACACGAAAGTTCGAAAATAACTAGGAATATCTAATTTTAATTATAGGCATATAGGTATATCCCGAGGTATAGCAATTACTTTCTCTTTGACGATTTACAAAATCGATTTTTTGATAGTCTGTATATATACAAATTAATTAATATTGAAGTGCCCTCCTTGTGATTTAAAATTAACAGCTTTTTACTAAATTCATACAAAAGTATATATGGTAAAGTAACCTATATATATAAAATAATATTTTTATAGATTTTTGTCTGTCTGTCTGTCTGTCTAAAAAAAACAAACAGTTTTTTTTCTTGCTAATGTCTAAAACAACTTTTGAGGGGACCTTCACTCACAGATAGCCAATGTTACAAGGAGTAACTTATTTCAATAATTTTATTAATTTTAAAATAATAACAGTTAAATTCCACGCTGAGATTTACACTTACACAAGTTACACATATATTATTATATATATATTTGTACAAAGGCACTTCTAAACTTCTGTGGATACGCCTAAAAATTGAAATACATATTTGATTGCATTATGCGAATTAGAACATGTAAAATCTAGATACAGCCTAAGTTAAATATAGGCTAAGTAATATTTAAGTACAGTGTCATAATATTGTCACAAAAGAACGGAAATGTATCCAAATGTATGCAGATTTAGTATAGCTGGTATAACCCAATATTTCCATACACCAAAACAACAATGGCGCCTTAAATGTCAGGTAGGGGACGCAGTGTAAAAACCAGGGGTGGAAATAGGGTGTGGGGGTTGTGGGGTCGTCGGATACGCCTAATGGTAGCAAGTCACGAATCCAACACTCAAATTACAACGGGCTATGTTAATGTTATTCGTAGAAACCTACCTAGGTTATATGGTTTTGTTATTACTGCCAGTCTGGATTTGAGTCACGCTATCAAATAATTTTAACGTACTAAACCTCTTTTATGAAATCTTTTATAATCTATATAATTATTTTATAACGTACAATATTTATAGTTAAAATTAATTACTTTGTTTTTAATTTAGCAACGTTTTACTTACTTTTTTAGAAGATAATGTAAATGTAATGTAAAGGAAACAAAATAATCGTGGTTAAATCCTTAAAAATTCTGCTACGGTGATACTAACTGACCTGACTTCATCGTCATCCTATCATCCTCGCTGGTGTATCATCCTCCACTGGTGGGGCACCAGTGGAGGATGATACACCAGCGTACACGGTTAGCCCAGACGGGTGCCCCATACCCACATTCATCTACATAACTATTAATAACATAACTAACTATATATATATTTACTCCTATCGGTGTCTTAAGACTAAAGTCGTATCCGTCACACACTCCATAAGTCCTTAGAACAGCTGAAGAAATTCGGCCTTCAGCCGCTTAGAGCGGCTGACTTCAGTGGGTTTTGAAGTGTCATCTGCACTCGCCTCCTATCTTCGGGTGAAGCTGTAAAACCGAGCTGCGGCCAACAGCATTAGAATAATTTGAAAAAAAAATATATACTAACCTACGTAATAAGTCGTATCTTGTCCAGAAAATGTCCTCATACATAAAACTACAAATCTCGTACCTACGAGACGAGGGTTCTCGAACTGTTGGCATCCCTATACACGGAGTTGACTAGTACTAGGATTAATGGGAGTCTATTTAAAACTTTACTATCCCTAATAATAGTCTGTAAGTTGCCATACTACAAACTAGCAAATTTTCCACACGTAAGTTGCAAAAGTTTGCATTATTTCGGAGGCCGACTCCACCTGGCACGTGAAAAGGGGTTGGTTGTAGTCGGTCATTACTGGTTTACACCGGTTCTAACAGGATACCACCCATAACAGATGGTGTAATTGCACATATCGTTTAAGCAGTTAGGGATATGTTATTCTGTATAAGTAGACCTTTATTTATTCGATTATGTTTGTAAGCATAATAATCGATTAAATAAACCCCGATTTTATTTTTAAAGGATTTTCCATATTATTTATTTTTTCAACCCTGATTTCTGAGATGTACTAGTATCTGTGTTATTGTTTTTTCCTTAGGTCACCACTTAGATAATGATGATGGTTTTGTTATTTACCACTTGGATAAAAAAACGAACAGAAAAATAGTGTTTAAAAAAACTCAATTGTTAATTAATCGGTTGTTTGGAATATTTTCTTTTCACATTGTTTTCTAATCAATTAAAAATTTATAATTTCAAATCTTTGTTATCGGTTTTTTTATACTGCATTTAAAACGGAACGATCGATAACCCGTCCCGTCTTCTCTTCTGTTTATTTGGCACATTAATTGATCTGCTAATTAACAATAATCTAACAAAACTTTATATGACTGTTTGTAAGTATGGAGGTTTGTTATTCTTTCACGCAAAAACTACTGAACGGATTTTGATGAAACTTTACAGTAATATAGCTTATCCATCATAATAACACGTAGGCTATATTTTATATTGAAATTTAACGCGGGTGAAACCGCGGGCACTTCTAGTAAGTAAACAAAGAGGTACTTACATACCGAATAATTAATGAAAAAATCTCTTCATCAGGTAATTGAAGGAATGGAGGCTTCATCATCAGATTACAGCGATGAAGAGGTGGGTGTGCTGGCGAGGGGCCAAAGGCTCTGGGTGAGGGGTGTACGATCCCATACCACTTGTGCGGACATTGTTAGAGCCCTGCAAGACGCACCCGAAGGTAATCTTATCAACTTGTGACAACACCTTAATCTTAATCGTTTTTCCAGGGTGATAAAATATAGAAAAAAATATAAATCTTTTTAACCTATCATCATTTCAGTTATATGGATTTTTAGTCAAAACTTATGTATATTTTTTATATCACGATGATGACAAAAAGGAGCTTACGGCCCACCTGATGATGATGACGCCAGAAATTTCGGTATAATATGACAATTTACACAGCGCCATCTACTTGCGAGCTAAGCAGAACTTATGTTATGGGTACAAGATAACTGATATAATTATAATTATTTATATCATTTTTGATTAATGTTTTTATTAAATTTGATTTGATAAAAACATTTCAGATCAATTCTAGACTACATGAAGATAGAAAGGCATTTAAAATTTAATTTTGTTTTTCAGGAAATGACTTAAAATCACGAGTCCATAAAATTCACACTATATAATCATAAATCATACTATTAACATTCTTATTAAATTATTGATATTGGTACATTATAGGTTATGAGGTAATATTATTCAATCTATATTTTATATAAGTTTTCTTTTCATTATTATTATCATATTTGGTAAACAGCTGGTGGAGGCCTGAGCGACCCCGGTGAGTGGGTGCTGGCGGAAAGATGGAGAGGAGTGGAGAGACCACTGCCACCAGACGTGCCAGTTCTGCATGTGCTGGCGGCCTGGGGTGACGCCAGGCATGAGGTTGGTTTACCTTTCATAACACAGCCTGAATGGTAAAGATAATAACAAAAAATTGTCTTATTCTGCATGTCATTCATACAGTCATGATTGTTTTTATACCACGATGGCGGTAATCAAGCATACGGCCCATCTGATGGTAAACAGTTACTGTAGGCTATTGACGCGTGAAACATCAGGGGTCATCAACTAATAATTTTATAATCATAATTTTAATTTTATAAATATATACTTAATATACATAGAAAACACCCTGACCGATACAAACGATCATACTCATGAATACAAATGATTGTACCGTGCGAGGAATCAAATCAGCGACCATTGGAAGTAAAGAGGATTAGTAGACCATTGTAGTAAACTCTGCTGTCAATATTAAAAATGAACAACTTGATATTCCAGGTGCGGCTATCTCTCCGTCGCGTTTCCAGTGGTGGCGAAGATGACTCAGGGCGAGATAGTGATGGGGGTAGTAGGATGGGCAGGAGACGGCGCCGGCGAGGGGTGCGGGCTGCCACACCCCCTCCCCGAGCTAAGAGCGAAGATCCAGCAGCTAGGCTGGTGTCCGTTATTCAGCATCAAAGCAAAACTATACACCAACAGCTCGATAAGTTAAGGTACCAATTGTTTCTGTCTCTTTATTTATGAGAATAGAGATTATTTATGAGAGAGAGGAAATGTGGTTCTACCACTTTTCTAACAGTTCTTATTTTATGTAAATGGAATGGCAAAAAAGCTGAACCACCTGATGGTAAACGGTAACCGTCGCCTATATATATAATATATGAACAGCACGGCATAACACCAGAGATCCTTCTCATGCATTTCCATTCCAGAGAATTAAGATGTCATATCTATTATACTGTAATGTTAGTATGTAAAAGTTTAAAAAGTGAAAAATGAAATTTATTTGAGGGCATTGTGAGCTAATGTTTTACTACCCCGATTTAATCCCTAAAGACCATCCTATGACCAAAATCAAAGCTTCCCAATTTATATTTTATCTCCAATATCATGAATTGATTACTAATTATTTTTACGCGATTATAAGTGCAAACAAGTTGGTAATCCATCCTGATGATCATTATTATTATACCCTATTCTGATGGTCTACTTTCGCCTATCAATCAACCCAACCACGACTATTTTGTAAATTAAATACACAATAAGGTACGAAATTACAATGATCAAACTATTTTCACTTTCAGGGAACAAGAGAAACTAATTGACCAACTAGAAGACCAAACTCACAAAAGTAGAATGGAGAAACACGGTACCAACTACCTGCTCGAATCTTATCTTCGAGATCTCGGCAGATGTAGCGAAGTAAACGACAGCCAAGCTGGAAACAGTGACAGTGGAGTAGGAGTTGGCAGTGGAACACCACCCAGAAGGCACACAAAGCACAAATCCAGAAGAGAAAGACTCCTGATGAGAGAACATTACTTTACAAAAGAATTAACAGATATATGCCAGGTCAACTCCGAGAGGTTGATGCAGACATCCAACGATACTGATTCCGATGCGTCATTAGATGAACTCACACGGATAAGAGAAGAAATAGAGTTATTGGAGAAATTAGCCATTATAAACAAAAGATTGCATCGCGAAGAAGAATTAGTAGTACGTTTGACGGCAAAAGTAAAACGATATATGGACGAGAACAAAGCTAACAGTTGTGAGAACGCAACGCAAGTGTCAATGTTGATTGATAAGATAGAGGAAGAGTTAGCGTTAAGTGCGAAGGAAATGCAAGACAACACAACGGAATTAGAAATAGCGGATAAAGAAATTGAGAGTAGACTGAAATTGCTTGATGAACTAACACTAGAATTAGAAGAAGAGGAGTTGCAGAATACGGTTCTAGAGCGGCAGTTAAATGAAGCATGTAGCCGACAGCCTATTCTTATCCAAGAGAGTTACGTACCTGTATTAGATGAAGCCACTGTCAACCAAACGTATAGTGGGGGTGGTTATATTTTAGACACACTTGTATGACATAGGATAAAAACCCAATTCGTTCCAAAGATCTGTTAAATTACCACTTTAGTTAGCGTCCCTTGGTGAATAATCGAGTGATCTGATCCCAAAATGGCCCCAAACGTACATATTATAGTTTATAAACGTATATTGATATTTAGACAATATTTTTTGGTGCTAAGAAAACTTGTTTATTCAAATATTGTTATTGATTGCGTGAAAACGCATGTATTGATTTGAATAATCAGAACTTAGTTGTTTGTTATATTTAGGATTTTATGATCTGCTTCTATAAATTCACAATTTATATTTCTCCTCCTCTGATTATAAAAACTAACCAGGATTTTAAAATAGTCTCTTCTGTTATTATATATTATTAATTTACTTACTGTTGTTATTGTGTGGTCATTTCAAATGATGCATTCCCTACAGTAGCGATAGTTGACTGTTTACTATTCATCGACAAAATCGGCAAAATTTATCGTGTTGCTGAAGAAAATTAGTAGTAATAGTAATAAGAATGTACAAAATCATGTTACTCCAAGAGATTGGCTTCGGTCACACAAATTAATACTAGAATTTCAATTGTATGCATATTTATTTTATTATCGTTGAAGGTTATATTAAGGTACAGTGATCATCACATCTAAGTTCTGATTTCTCATTATTAAGTTTTATAGTATAAATGTAAAAATATGTTAGTGTACAATGCCAAAAATATACACAAAACCACCAATTGCAGTATGTATAAATTTAGGCTAGTCAAATTGATAACTCGCGGCAATTCCCCTTACTACGATATTTATAATTATCATTGTTCTGATTGAATATCACAATCTAAAAGCGAATCGCTATATTATCTATGTTATTAGTAAAAATTAAAGCCTGAACTGTGTTTGACCATCAGTGTTCCCTTTAGTAAAACTTATAATTTTCGTTTCAATTCAACTTTGCTCGTTATGGTTTTATTCAACCGGATCTTTTAAGAATCCAAAATTCTGATTGATTATATTAGAATTTACAAAACTATCAATCATAATTTGATTGAATCAAATTATTAATAAAATCTCAGGACAATTCCCACTGGCTCTGTGTGGCTAGATCCAAGCTAAGCATAGCTTGTTATGGGTACTAGATAATTGATATAAATACATAGATTTTTTTTTTGGAAATACATACATAACATAGTAAACACCTAGAACTATCAAAACAATAATACTCATATACCAATCGAGGAATCGAACCCGCAACCATCGGAAGTAAACTGTGTACAAGTTATATTCTATAGCTTTTAGAATTTTGATATTGTTTCAGTAATAAATGATAATTCTATCAATCTATATATATTGAGAGCTTGTCAAGTGAACAATTATAATGTAAAAATAACTAGCAAAAATGATTGTTAAATATTTTATAATATAGAAAATACACCACAATTTTTACAAAGTCTTTTTTTACTATGTGTAAAATAGTAAAAAACAACACTTGGTTGGACATGTGAAAAGCAATGCAAGAGGGGTAACATGATAACGTGATGTCCGTGATGCTGTTCAAGTACATAGGCGACGGTTACCACTTCCCATCACGTTGACCGTCAGCTTTTTTGTCATTTCAATCACTTAAAATATACACTTGCAAGCTCCAAGTTACCCGAAAGTCTTCAACATAATTATGTTATCTGTTATTGATATGTTTATATGCATATATATAAATATAAAATATACAACGATTACAAAGCAGTGTTTTATTTGGACATAAACAAATAATATAATGAAAAAATGCACAATTTCAAATCATTTCATGCCTTGGCCAGTGATTAAATTGTATAGTTTTAGTATGACCTCAATACTGATGAAATAACAATCTATTTGTAATGAAAAGTAGGTACCTAATTTTTTAACAGTCCAATACAGTGATATTTGGAGCCAAAGTTTAGTTCGAAATTGTCAGATATTGAAAAATTTTGTGTCGAACAGATGGAGATAAAATAAGAAACCAAATGGATTCAATACGGCAGTGGATAAGTACATTTGCATCCAAATTAACAAGAGGCGACTTGTTAACTTGGATTCAAATGTACTTAGCGAATGTTTAATCTATCTATATAAGAACCTGACTATTCAATCTGAGTCGTGAAGATATACTAGTATAGTGTCCGTTTTACTACAAACATTTAAAAACCAAAATCATATAAAAGGCAGACTATTGTGATTAAGAATTCCGTAAGAATAGTTATTATATATATCTTAAACGGTTCAAGTGTCTGATTACTTCACCTGGGGTATAGTCGTGATAGTATGGTACAACTAAGTTTTATTTACATAAATACTCCTAGTATTGACTGTGGACTGTGGATATATATGTTTTTTTTTTATAGCATAGAGGACAAAAGACTTGAGGCTCACTTAATGGTAAGTTATTACCGCGGCCCATGAGCACCCGCGATACCAAGGGAATTGCAAATGCGTTACCGGCATTTTATGAAATAATCTCTTTTCTTGAAGGTTTCAATATCATATCGGTTTCGAAATACAGCTGGAAAGTGATTGATAATTATTTTTGTTCATATTTTTCAAAGCGCCTTTTACTAATTTATTAAATAAACAATACATAGCGTCGTATTAATGTTTTATGTATTGTTGTCATTTCATTATCTTAAATTGTCTACTAATATACTCGAACACGAAGCCAGAGTACATACAGAATTAAATTATATATATTTCAAAAAATACTTTCACTTATAGATAGCTAGCAGCGGATGATATAGGCTACACACAGGCAACGCCGAAGGGATTCATATAGTTATTTAGAGAAATGGTCATACAATACATATCAATTTAAACACTGGCCAAGGCACACCTTTGAAGTGGTTCAGGAAAGGTAGAGATAACTGGTATGCCTCGGTCCACATGCAGACGTCAGAATTGAAATCAGGTAGACCCGAATCTGTTGGATCTTCGTCTGCAGTGAACTGCAAGCGATCTGTGCTTATTCCGTGTCCATTGCCACCTGGAATTAAAATTAAAACATATCATCAAACATCGATAAATGAAGGGTTGTGAGATCGTAACTGGCACAAAAATAAGGGCACAGAAAGAAAAACGTCAATTTTCATTTCTGACTCTGCGGTGATGGACACACCGATAACAAACCAAAATAAATCATAGAGACGGTGGTGGATGCGTCCCCTAATGTTAGATTTCATATGTAACTAGCGAAAGGTGGCACAGATTGCCTTCACCACGTTCACATCGCAGAGAAAACCTCTAAAAACTATTTTTCTGACCTCAGTAATCTATATTCGTTTTACGAATTGTTTATTTGACAATATATTTAATATACTGCTACAGCTCGCTCTTTATTATATGTCACGTATGATAATGAAGGAGATAAAAATGTTTTGCAGAATAAAAAATATATTATTCTTAATTTTATATATAAAATACTCGTGTCACAATGTTAGTTACCATACTCCTTCGAAATGGCTTGACAGATTTTTATGAGTATTTATATGCATATAGATCTGAGAATCGGCTACTATCCACATATATTTCATATCCATAATAAGTATCTATATGTTTTTCATATCCGTATAAGTGATAAGGGTTTTGTCTACCCATAACATTTTATATTTATTTTTTTGGACAAAATTTTTTTATAAAGTGGCAATTATAAACATATATAACTCCCAGATTTTCATCTACCATCAAGCCCTATTTTTTAATAGCGATATTAATTTATATGGCAAAAAAAAACGTTTGCCGGGACAGTAGTAAATATATCAATTTCTTATATTATTCCGAAGTGACCTGAGTCTGTTATGCAGACGATAGTAATATGATAGCCATTTATCTCAGTTAATAGGGTTGTCAGCTAGGAACTCCGGCAATGGCAAGGTAGGTATACAGTATAGTTATTTAGTGGCTAAGAATCACACACCCCTTTGTCACCCTCCGGCTGTTTCTTGAAGATAGATACACGATACATTAGTTTAGTATTATATTTATGGTTTTTTTTTATTGGATTGTGTGGGCTATTGCCAGATGTTTGTAGCACCTGATAGATCTATTGTGCTCGCCCTTTTTCAAAGTTCGCTACCTAGACCCGTCAGGGACAAGAATTGAAGGATATTCTTAGGAGCGATGGTTTTTATCTCCCCGGGAAGGAGTGTAAAAATTTATAATTAATAGTGTAATTATTTATGGTTAGCTTAATAACTACTCAAGAGGCCTTCCTCTTGAGTAGTTATTAAGGAGGTATAATATTACTTTATTTATGTGTATGATGTCTAATCAGTCTAGTCATGTCTAATAATCATCAGTAGATGAAAAGAAAATTCTGAAAAGATTCCATTACCAAGATGCCTGGCGAATATGGTAACAGTTATGTGCTTCTATTATTAGCCCACTGGCTGTTAATAGACTGTTATTCTGCCATGAATTCAAACTAAATAACAAAATATAATATAATGTACAATAAATTTGACAACCCTAGTATAAGTTCAATGGTCAGCTCGTTAGACTGTTTAAATTCTCTATATCAACAATGCTATCTTGACGGCCATTCACAATCGTACAGAACGTCTTAAAGATCGCCCGTTCGTCATGATACGTTACATATTATTATTTCTACATGGCATAATTGTAATAACAGCATTAAATTTGGACTATTTGGACCCTACGAAACTTCAAACTAGGATAACGCCCGCCGTGCAACAAGAAACTGCGTTAAATATCATAAGAAAATACGTGCAATCCAATAATGTTATAGTGGAAGTGAATCCTTTATTATTTAATAGTAATAGAGACACATTCTCGCTCAGGACAAGCCAAGGACAACTGCGGATAAGAGCTAGCACTGGTATTGCAGCGCTGTGGGGCTTTAACTACTACTTAAAGAAATATTGCAAATCGCATATAGGATGGCAAGTGAAGCGTATATCTATGCCGTCCACTCTACCGGAGGTAGATGAAACCGTGACAGCGAACGACAGATTTCGTTACTACCAAAATGTATGTACGGCATCATACAGTTTCGTTTGGTGGACTGTAGATGATTGGAAGAACCATGTGGAGTGGATGGCACTGAACGGTATCAACCTATCGTTAGCACCCGTCGCACAAGAAGCTGCCTGGACCCGTATTTATAAACAGATAGGTATGACGCAAGAGGAAATAAACGAACATTTCACGGGACCCGCGTTCTTGTCCTGGCAGCGAATGGGCAATCTGCGCGGGTGGGGTGGCCCGCTGTTCCAATCTTGGCACAACCGGCAAAGAGATATACAAATAGCAGTGGTGGATATGATGTTCAAACTTGGTATCGTACCAGTTTTCCCAGCATTCAATGGCCACGTCCCTAAAGCTTTCTCGAGAATTTATCCAAAGACTACGTTTTACAAAGTAAACAGTTGGAATGATTTCAACACCGAATACTGTTGTGGATTGTTTTTGGATCCAGGTGAACCTCTATTTAAGACTATCGGTACTCTGTTTCTGAAAGAAGTAACAGTTGATAGCGGGAGCAGCCACATATACACTGCCGATCCATTTAATGAGATCAGTATTTCATCCTGGTCTACACCGCTTATACAGGAAACGGCTATGTCAATATTTTCCACAATGACTCGGACTGATGAAAACGCTGTCTGGTTACTACAGAACTGGATGTTCGTCCATGATCCGGTTCTATGGCCCAAAAACAGGGTCAAGGCGTTCCTATCTTCTGTACCCAATGGTCGAATGTTGATCCTAGATCTCCAATCCGAACAGTGGCCACAATACGACTTTTATGAAATGTACTTTGGTCAACCATTTATTTGGAATATGCTACACAACTTCGGGGGAACATTAGGGATGTTTGGAAGTATGGATATTATAAACACAGATGTGTATGAGGCGAGATCTCAGAAAAACAGTACGATGATAGGAATCGGACTCACACCGGAAGGAATCAACCAGAATTATGTTGTGTACGACCTGATGCTGGAATCCGCTTGGCGAAAAGGGCCAGTGCGTGACCTCGACGCTTGGGTGGGTGAATATGCTGCAAGACGATATGGCTGTAACGACACAGGGGTCGCATGGAAATATTTACGAAAAAGTGTTTATAGTTTCAAAGGCCTGAATAGAATTCGAGGGAAATACGTCATCAATCGTAGACCAAGTTTCAGAATAAGACCATGGGCGTGGTATAGCAGCAGGGACTTGTTTAAGGCATTTGAAAAATTTGTTTTTGTTTATAACCCTTACTGTTACACTGAAGGCTATTTTCATGATTTAGTTGACGTTACCAGGCAAGCGTTACAGTATAGAGCCGAGCAGTTATATTCAAGAGTTTTGATTGACCGATACTCCAATAATTGGGTTTTCAATGCGTCAATTAACCGCTTCCTCGATGCGATGTCAGACATAGAGAAAATTCTGTATGCAAGTAACGATTTCTCTGCAACCCAATGGTTGACAAAAGCTACTGATCTGGGAATCACAAACGAAGAAAAGTATCACTATGTATTGAACGCACGAAATCAAATAACATTATGGGGTCCAAATGGTGAAATAAGTGACTATGCTAGTAAGCAGTGGAGGGAACTATTTACATATTACTACATTCCACGATGGACAACGTTTTTGAGGGCTGCATTAGACGCTAAAGTGAATAGAGAAATTTTTGACGAGCGTAGTGTGCAGGATATAATAAAGTCTGAAATTGAAGAACAGTTTGTGAATCAAGAAATTGTGACTCAGCAACAGTCATATTTAGATATTACGAGCACCGCTATACGTCTTTATAAAAAATGGGCGCTACTTCCAAATTTGGATGACCTTCCTCTTAATATAATCGAGAGAGACCTTGAAATGAAGACCACGTGGCCTGATACAGTGGAGAGCGATGTCACGCCGGGAACAGATCCCACGGTACTCATGTGGCAATCTAGCACACCTAATTAATCATTATATATTTAAATCAAACTCTATATATATAAGTAACAGTTTCCAACAGTTGTTTAAGCTTTACTGACACACTATCAAAGTGACATCGTTGCAATTATAAATATATTCCAACCTAGCTTAGTTTTAAAGACTTTTAAAGACCTAATTTTATATACTTCCACTCCAAAGGTCGTCAATACGACGTCGAAACCAACAATTCTTTGTGTCAATTTATAATTCTGATTAATACAAAGAAAAGCTAGCATAAGAGAATAAAAATGGCAATTGACTCCTTCAAAAGTAAATACGAACATACCAAACCCATTAACATTAGTGTTTTGTCATTTTTGTTTCAAGTCCATACAATTAACTTAAACTGTACATTAATTAAGCAATATGTGAAAATTCTGAAGAAGTGCAATCTTTACTATCATTATATTTATTTATTGATACTAGCTTCTACCACGTTATCGTCCGCGTGACTATGACTAATCGGGATAAAAAGTAACTGTCCTACTCCACCTCAAGTGCTATGTAAGTGCCAAAACAAAAAATCTAACTTATGAATGTATGTATATTTTGTATATGATTGCGTGCTGTGCCATGCTTTTATAGTGCTACGATATACGTCAGTGCATTAACAACAACCTTGTGTGTACTCCATATCCTCATATATTTTACAAACAAACAGTTTTACATTTTTTTTCTTAAATTCTCCTATCTACAACCAGTCCTGGAACTATAAGCAGATCTTTTAAGTGTGTGAACTGGTAACAGTGTCGACCCTAGCAGGACGATCTGCTCCTTAAGATTACTGCGAAATATTACTTAATATCATTTCTTTTTAGGCGTTTAGGGTAGTGCTGTTTAGCAGTCAGGAGATTTTTCTTTAATTTTAGAGTTGATTATTTTCTCTTTTACTGTCAGCAGGCCAAGTTCTTTCTGAATTTTGTCGTTAGTGATGACCCAAGGGACACCCAATAATGTTTTCAGTATAATATTTTTGACACTTTGGATGATAAATTGGGAAAATTGTCACGACTCACTACACGACAGCAGTGTTGCCAATTCGATATTTTATTTTTGTCCAAAATCACATCAGTCAGTTGTATCAACTAGACTAAACGTTTAATATAAAAATAGGATAGTTTATTATATTAATATAATTAAAAAAATATTTCAATGAATACGAAACGTTTATGGTGCTCTGTGATTTGTTTAAAGTTTTTACAATTATGTACAAATTTAAAAAAATGTGCCCATATCATTTTAAATTTAAACGGATACCTACGTACCTACCTAGGTATCTATAGCAGAAAAGAAAAAATAATTTATAGGTTAGATTAAAATTATTAATAATTATAAATAGTTTGTATAAAATATGCTATTATATTGAAAAATATTAACCTTATTTTTTCATTACAATAGAATAGACTTTCTTTATTTTATTTATTAAATATCTATTAATAAAATTAAAATAAAAGAACAAGTGAACGCTGCAGTTTATTTTGTAATTTTTGAATGCAATAAAAATTATTTCAAATCAACCAACTATGTATTAACAATATAATTATAATATAATTATATAAATGCGAAAGTAACTCTGTCTGTCTGTCTGTCTGTCTGTCTCACGCCAAAACTACTGCAATTTAAATGAAATTTAGTACGCAGATAGTCACGCCAACAATTTAAAATGTATCCTTCTAAATATATAAGCTATCTAATGTACTCGCTTTTTAAATTGGTCGGATTAACAATATTTCGCTGCAGTAGTGTTTTATCGATAGAAATTATTTATGTTGCCGTCAATCGATCTTCCTTTCCGTTACTTCATCGCATTTTTTAAATTGAATTTATTTTATATTGCATCACAACTTCAACAGAAAGAATTTCATATAGTGTTACATAATTCGCCCACAGAGCCTACCCTAGTAATGATGTAACACTAAACTGTTAAAACGCTGGGATCATCAAAGGTTAATACTCACCGCCACCTGTGGGTCCCGTTCGTCCCCCGGGGGGTCTCTATCGGTTCCAGAAGCCCCAGCATCACCGGTTGCGGTTCCACCACCTCGTCTCTCTTCACCTTCCACGAGAGCCAAGAACCGAGTGAGTTCAGCTTCCTCACAAATCTGGAGCGACGTCTTGGGTCCCACAATCGCTATCGATACATTCTGTTGAGTAATAACCAAAATTATTACTTTAGGGTCATGGTTTAATGCTTTACTGCTCCACCTGAAATGGGAAGGTCACAAGATCGACTACGACGTACACAAGAAACTCTTTGTGCTAATTTATATTTCTGGATATCGTTGATAACAAACTATTACTTCGAAAAACAGTGCTACAACCCTTACGATATTGTATTTCAAATCTAGTTAAAGAAAATTGGTTGGTTGTCCTTCTATGTAAGAAATTGATCTGAGCGGTGGTCCACTAGTCTCCTTTACTAATAATCCCCTCCCTGCACTTAATATGCCTCATATTAAGTGTTACATAGAAGGATAACCAAAGTATGATAACATTTAACACCTAAGACCCTTAAAATTGTACAGTAGCAACATATTAGTTCTATATATCATGATATATTCGTGTAATTGTAAAGGTAAAAAGTATTACTACCTTACTTATATACAGCAGAGCTGTCCAATTCCGAAACCGATAAATCAAATTTTAAAACTCCGACTCCGCCTTCGGGTCGATAAATTTACCTCCGTTAGATCCCTAGTTTGGATTCCAAAACCAAACTATGACCCTATGGGGGGCCACATGTGGCCCGCGACTTGAATTAATGTGGTCTGCTAAATATTTTATTTTCTTTATTCAAGTAACAAAATAATGCAAAACCAACATTCTTATAGAGACATATATAATTACATTTAATGAGTAAATTATTTTTTCTTCTGATCTTGAAAGTATGCCCTGCACTGCGTCTATATTGGCCAATATTGGCGTCAATGTTGACAGAATTGTTAAAGATAAATTAATAAAAATGTAATATAATAATAAAATAATGATATTATACCTGCATTTTCTTTTTACAAATATTTTGCGGCCCCTCAATGGTAATTTTTATTGGCCCTAAATTTTATCTAATTTGGACAGCTCTGCTATAAGTATAACTCGATAATTGTCCTAATTGACCATTTTTAATTAACAGTATTTATATTTATGTATAATACCCTTAACAAAACTGGTTAGTTTGGGACTAGATGGCGCAGTGTGAATTGTTCTGAGTTATTATTATATTACTTTTAATGAAGATTAGAAGTGGCCATCAGAGTTACAGAAGAGAGCATATAAGTCACATCTATGATTAGGAAAGTGTACCAACTAACCTTTGTATTAAGATCTACTTCATTAGGCAGTGTATCTCTTAGAGCCCTTAGACCATGGGCTACTAATTCTTGTAGGTCGCAGTCTATGAATGTGGTCAGATGCTTCTCAAGATATGTCCTGGCAGACTGTGACCTAGCTCCAATGGCCATAGCTCTGCAGTCAAAGTAGTTTGCTGATGGACAGGTCTGGTAAATGTGAGGACCTTGATCCTAGGATTAAACAAGAAAATATTTTTTTTAGAATGAGTTAACATAGGGAAAAAATATGAGAGGACAGGGTTCCTTTCATCCTTGTATGTGAGATTCCTCTACCTAATGTAATATCCCAGGAGGGTACAAGGTTGTTAACAATGAGGACAATAGCCTGATTGCTAGAAACCATGTCTAGTCGACCTCCATGGTGCCCACTGGAAAACATTGTGGTCAATTTCTGGTAAATTCACCATGAGAAGCAAACTGACCTGACTTCATGATCATTCTATCATCCTGCATCGCCTGTGCTAACGGTATAGGCTGGCGTTAGGGCAGGCGGGTGCACCAATCCCTTAACATCCAAAAAATAATATGTAATGTCTTATTATTGTGTAATTTAAATGTGTATACATACATCATATCCAGCAACCAGTAGGCCAACTCCGAGTGGGCGTTTGTCGTAACGCTGTGTGCATATTTGCATCTTATTGCCAACAAGTGCAATCAGTCTGCCAACAGGCATTGGTGCATCGTGAGCGTAACGATGGTTTAGACATTCGGTACGCATAAATCGGCTGAAACAGAAAATTTACCATGACTCATGTGAAAAATTTTCTGATATTATTTTGGCAATTAATGTGTTAAAATTGTACCAGTTTAAATTATTTATATTTTAAAATTATTATTAGAATGTTGAAATATTCTCTAGTACATTGAGATAAATAATGTATGATAAATTTGCAATACACTGGACATAGTAATTCATATCATTAAAACCTATAATCAATATATTCTGGCAAATATGCGATTTCATTTATAGTAATTTCAAGTGATAGAATAGAATAGAAAATCATTTATTCAAATAAACTTCATTCACTTTTGAATAGTCATAACAATTTTCTTTTATCTACCACTCGTTCGGAAAGCTGTCTCATCACAAGAAGAAAGATTAAGAAACTTGTGTGTTGCTCTTTTAAATAATCCTTGTAAGTTTACATTTACAAGTAGAAATGTGTGAATGGTAATCTGGGTCATGGTTATTGTATCTTAGATTGGTATCTAAGAGATCAAAAAAGAAGAATGACAGAAAATGAGGTAGGAGGATGACATAAGAGCACCACCTGGACCAAAATGGAGGAGGAAAGCGTTGGACATAGGAACATGGAGAAGGCTTATATCTTAGGACAAGCTGATGAACCTAGGCAGTGAAATACCCATAAACAAACCCAACATTAACTTTACCATCACTACAAAGGCTATAAATAAATAAATACATCTATTTATTATTTGACAGACTCTGTAGTCTAGTGGTTTAACAGACTACTTTACTCTTAATGGTTGCAGGTTTGATTCCTTCCAAGGTTCAAACATTTGTACTTGTTAATATGATTGTTTCCATTGTTCTAGGTGTTTCATACATATATTATACATATATTTACAAAAACTGAATATGTGTATTTATAGCACTTGTCTAGTACCCACAACACGAGCTCTGCTTAAGTTGGGACTAGATGAGGCTGTATGAATTTATTTATTTATATACTTTACATCAAAGATTAATATGATTATAGACAAAGTATTTTAACATAAATCCCTACACTAAGTTTAAGGCAGGAAATCACAGAAATCGCAAGAAGGAAGGAGACCCTAGTTCAACTAGGTACAAAATTAATGTTACATCATAATTTACAAAGAATAATAGAAAATATGTGTATAGACTGGGTATGTGAGTGTGTTTTTGTGTGTGTGTGTGTGTGAACATATATATCTGTGTTTGTGGATGTGTGTGTCTATGTGTGAACAGAAGGAAGTTTGAGTTTTTACATAGAATCTTTAACTACAGTCAGTTAGGATTGTTCTGATATATTATTCTTATCTAAGCAAATATAATCTATATTGATTCCCTAATATTTTACCTCAACATACGAGCATCAGCTGTCAATCCTGATATAGAGATTCCAATATGTTCATCAATTGGAATAATCTTCTTCTGATATGCTGATAATTCACTTACTGCCCTTTTTAAGGCAATCAGAACTGCAAACTGTTTGTTCTTCAACCCTACAGTTGCAGAACCGAGCTTTACTGCCTCCATGGCATACTCCACCTGATGAAGACGCCCTTGAGGGCTCCATACCGTGACATCACTGTCGTACTGATTCCGAAACTGAAAATAGATGAGAAAATGCATAGATTAAAATAACTATTTTTAATCTTTACGAGTAATTAATTTCAGTAGATTAGTAGGAATTCATTAGAAAATAATTATAAGTAGATTACAAATTAATAAGTTAGTTAAAAACAACACAATTTGTAATTATATTTGTGTTACGAGACATATACTGGCATAAAGTTTTCTCAACTGCTATGTCGAATTTCGTATCCAAATTCGTTACTTTAACAAAAAAAACGGATGTCTACCAAGGCTGTAATAGGTCAGTTCCCTTTGCTTTTCCTTTAAAGGATAAACATAAATAAAATATTCGTCGTCATTTTAATCTTCTGCCAAAAAACCATTTTGTTAATTCATTACTTTTTTAGGTTATCTAAACTTAATTTTTATAAATTGTAAACAAGACACTTATATATCTACAAAATGATACGTAAATTAATGTAATTAGACTTTATTCATCATTAGACCTTTAGAACAGCTGTAAATTAGCTATACAAGTCAATAAATACCGGTAATGACAATGCAAGTTTCAAAAAAGGTCAATGTAAATTAATTATTGTAATGGTATATAGTAATCTTATGTTTATATAAAATACATTATTTTGACTTACCATTATGGTTTCTTTCTATGGAATTATTATCTAATATAATTCAATATTAAAATTGTAACAATGACTATGAAAATAGAACGAAAAAGAAAATTGTAATGTCAGATATACAATTTCACAGAACAAAAATACTGCGCCCGTCAATCGCAACCACAGACTAAACAGAGGCGTTTTAAACGAAAAGCATTAGTAAAACCGTACAAGCAAACTAAGACGATTCTTAATAATAAAAAATCGTAATAAAAAATATGTTTAATCTGAATCTTAAAATAATTTCACAAATTATCACAAAATTTTAAAAATGGCAAAAAATAAATATTTACTAACGTCAAATAAGCGTTTAATGATTAAGTTTAGTTTATTTAATGACATTCATTTAAATGTAACTTAAACGGAAATATGAAAATAAAGTGTTTCTTATTAACTATTAACTTCATGCTTCCATTGTTTCGATATTTGTGTCTACGCCTTTCCTGTTAATGTTTTAGTAATGTCATTGAAAGAAATATAATATTTTAAATAAAAACTATATCTACTACTACTATATGTTAAATATACCTGCTGTATATGGTATACAGCAGGTATATTTATTAACAAAGTAATTAAGTATTAGTTAATTGTTGAAATTTATAAATTTTAAATTCCGTAATTAGTAGTAAAATTATTCTGATCATATTTGAAATCGTGTAATATTATTTTATCTGTGATAGTAAGAAAATAAGCGTAAGCGCAATTTTAACTTTTAACATTTTTAACACAACGATTTATCGAGTTTATAAGTCATACGCCGCTTTTAGCTTGGGTCTAGATGGCGCTATGTGCATTGTCCTGAGATTATTATTATTATTATTATTATAAAAAATTATGGATTCCATAGCAGGAGGTTGTAAAAAAAATCCAACCTTTTCTTAATACAGATTTATTATAATTAAAATATGATATATATACAATACTTGTAGTTCGAAGTTAGAACACACAATAAATACATTTATAAAATTATATAAAGAATATTATGTATGTACCTATTTACAAAAAAAATTGTCTAGTAAATATCTATCCATAACACAAGCTCTGTTTATCTTAGATGGTGCTGTGTGAATTGTCCTTAAAAATATTATATTACTATATTCTTCCCTCAATTGTTATTAAAAAAATCTAGCATAAGTCAAAAGCATATTTCACAAAGAACAAAAAGGAAAAAACTTACAACAATTATGAATAGCTATGATAATATACGAGTTATAAATAAATAAATATGTGAAGTGGTGATTAATGTAAATTGTGAAAAATTAATTTTATTATAGTCACGATATTAAGTAAACCAATCTTTTGAACTTTGGAATAATTAACGCTATAGCGCGGTGTTTATCATCTCACCACTGTAGCATTATACGTATGATGTGATGAGGTCTCACTACATAATATCTGTGATAATATATTGTTTTTTATACGGTCTGTGTTAGTATACCGATAAAATAATTCTTCTTCTCAATTGGATGTATATACCTAATTGGACGGTAGGGAAAAAAAAATATTAATTTGTTCGGAAAGTAATTTCGTTTTTTCCTAACTTAGGATTTAATTGTATTTTTTGCACTCAACTTCACACTTATGCCGTATAATTTTTTATGCTTTACATATAGCAAGGCTTGTGTCTGAAAAATTCCAACTAATTCTACGCAGTAGTTTTTGTGTGCTTTTAAATAGAGGAATAAGCAGCATTTTCGACATATCATACTGTTTTATTACAGAAAGGGCAAAAATGCTGTTCAAGCTAGAAAGAAATTGACCGATCTGTTTTGAGAAGGTGTGTTAACAGTACGCCAGTGCCAGAACTGGTTCGCTAGTGGCGTAGTGCGAACTAGTACAATTAATTGTAATTTTTCACACACAAGCCTTGCTATATAAGCTCTCAAATCATATAAAAATTATACGGCTTAAGTGTGAAATTGAGTACAAAAAATACAATTAAATCCTAAGTTAGGAAAAAACGAAATTACTTTCCGAACAACCTAATATAATGTAAAAACTTGACGTTCATAAGCGGCTAAAATGTCCTACATGAATAAATGATTTTTGAATTTGAATTTGAATAATTGTATTTATTGTAGATTAGTAATTTTCTTTGGTAGTGTGCTATATGGCTTATTAGTAACGCGTAGGTACATTCGACGCACATTTTATTCGTCGAGGGACGTAGATTGATTTCTGTTATCTGATTAACACTGATTTAATCTTATTATCTATTTAATATTTGTGATATTTGGTAATAAATTTAAACACTTAAAAATATAAAGTTACAACGATTATTTAAATTCATTTGAAGCAACACGCAAGCTTCTTGATCGTTCTTCTTATGATGAGGCAACTTTCCGACTGAGCGGTAGATAAAAAGAAGGGTAACTATGACTATTTAATGTGCTTAAATTAAGTTTATTTGAATAAATGATTTTCTATTCTATTCTATTTTGGAGAGGTAAACTAATGGGAGTATGGCGAGTGTTGACAGATATATTATAAGTGTAGCCACAACGCGAATAAAGACACGAGCAAAAGTTAGTACAGTAAAAAAGATAGATTCAGTTATTCGTACCGCAAATTCTAAACACGTGTCTATTCAGCTCTCGTAGTCAGATTTAACAAGATACAGTTAGATATGATACTCAGACGGATCTGTCACCTATTGTGCTGCCTCCATTGTGGAAGCGTCGAGAACATCCTGAGTTATGGTATACACGCCGAGTTCAGCAAGCATCTTGAATGTTAATAGTTAAATCTTATTTGACTAATGATGGTGCGTAAAGTCCGCTTAGTTATTATTAACGCTATTAAACTGTATTATTATAATTAGAGCAAGAAAATCATAATTGTACATACATACCTATTTTTATGGATGACTAGCTGTATCTGCGAGGTCGTCCGCGTGGAATTTAACTTTATTTTTAAAAAATAAAAGAATTTTTCTAAAATAAATGTAGTCTAAGTTACTCCTTATTACATCAGTAATATGCCAAAAAAATTCTGTCAAAATCGGTCCAACCATTTCAGAGACTAGCCGGAACAAACTGACAGACAGACAGACAGACAAAAATTGTAAAAGATGTTATTTTGGTGTATGTACCACCACCATGTAAGTATTTATATTCATATGTATGTAGTAAAAAGCAGTTATTACAATATTACAAATAGACACTCTAATTTTATTTATATGTATAGATTATTGAATGATGCACCCGTTTTAGGATAATAAAGTGAGCATAAAATCAGGTGACTTGGCCGATCTTGGCTAATGGCAATTTACCACGATGGTTACCAGGGGGAACTGCGTGGAGGTCGACCTGAGATGGTACATTGCTAGCAATGGGATTATTAGTCCATATTATGTTATCTGTGATATTATTAACAATACCTTCCCCTCCTTATCCACGGGTATGTGCTATAGCATATCTATCTGGCGGATATTAGAGCTAACATCAGAGTTATACGTCAACAGTCCTTTTATTTTATTTATCTAAATCATATTAATAGTTATATTTTCCTTGCCTATTCTCAATAATATTCAATTAAATAGGCCGTCAATATGTACGTCATGCTAGATAGAACACTAAAAAAGCGACAAATAAAACAAAGAACAAATTTCCTTCTATTCGTATGTAACATGAAAAAAGTGAAAAAAAAACGCCAGTGATGGAAGTCCATTAATCAGGTTTGGAAATGATGTTTTTTGCCATGCTCCATATCTCGTCGTCGTAACCGTTTCCGTTTCCCACTATTTATTTTTTTATATATAAAAATACGATCCACTACTGTGCTTTCTCGATTGTAATATTAGTAAATGTAAATGAAAATATATATCTGTATATTAAAAAAAAAACAACAATATACAAAAAAATGTGTTCATGTAATGCACCTGCATTTAATGACCTCCATGGATGTGATAGTTGAAATCCATTAAAAACATCAAATTGTGAATTATCTCGTAATTATATATTTTTATAATAATTTTAATCAACGATGTAATAAAAATATGAAGATAACATACGATCGTCTTTTGTTTTTTTTTTTCACATTTTTGCTCTCGAGAACACAGAGTTCTTTATTTAAAAATTATATATAATACTTATATAGTATTAGTAAAATTAGTTAATAAAATGAAACACTTTTAGTGTGTCTTTAGTAATTATTTTTGTTGGAGTTTTCAACAATACATATCTATGCATGAACAGACGCCCGTGATGTTTATTTGTAACTAGCCGTGCCCGCGGTTTCACCCGCGTCAAACTTATAGCCTTTATGTTATTCAGATAAGCTATATTACAGTAGTTTCATTAATATCCGGTCAGTAGTTTTTACGTGAAAGAGTAGTAAACATCCATACTCACAAACTTTCGCGTTTACAATATCATTAAGATAACATTTACTACGTACCTATATTTTTATGTATAAATGTCTTATTTTATAGTTTTTATTTTATATTGAAGAATAACAATGGTAGAGAACAAAAATCATTAAATAGTAATGGCGCGCTTTCATCACGTACCGTTCGTTTCAGGATGTGTCTCCATTTTTTATTAACGTACCGAGTAAGATATGAAGGATAGTGAACTCCAAATTAAAGACCCATACACCATACAACATACATACAATATTAATGTATGTATTTCTAACTCATAGTAATAATATGCAAATGTTAGACACTGCAAGGAGCAGGACATTCGTTTTGTATTAACTTTCGTGTTAAATTAAGTTATGTAAATTATTTATATTCTTAACCGGGTTACATCACTTGACATTTATCATTATATTTCGCCAAATTTACATAATATCTTTTTAAATTATAGCCTATGTGTTATTCTAATGTATAAGCAAAATAACTGTAAAGTTTTATCAAAATTCCTTCAGTAGTTTTTGTGTCACACGTCCATCCATCCAAACTCACAAATTTTTGCGTCCATAAAAAGCAAGATGTTGGTGACTTAATTAGGTGAGACTGAGGTACCCATGCAGAACACTTTTTATTCTGCCTGAGTGTAATTTTAAGACATTTATATATATTGCATCACAAGAACAGATATAGTTTTCTGCAGCTTTCTTATATCTAAAAAAACGCAGTCGAA